AGAGCACAGGGAAGAATTCAGAGAAGTATAATATTGGAGCTTTCCTCTCAAATACAACCATGGAAAACATGAGCAAAATTAGAAATCCAACGTGCTCACCTTCAAGGAAGGAGAAGTTCTTGTGTGCCCAAGAGGCTTGAGTTGGGTTTATTAAAAAGCAAGATTTCAGTGAAATTTAGAAATTTGGAAAGAATAAAAAAGGAAACCATACCATGTTTTATACATACAGACATTCAAGAAGTATTAACTCAAAAATTTGAAGTAAATACTTCAAAACGCATGTTCAAGGAACAACAAATACACCAATCTGCTGGGACCAGAGACTGGTGTAGAAGGGTAAGGCCTAATACATTCCAAGGTCAAATAATTGGGGACTATTTGTATCATCTTCCTCTAATCTTACAGGTTCACATGCAAAAGAGAAATCTCTTTTATGCTGTTTAATGCAGTTTCCTCAACTTATTGACTACAGAATTGTTTTTTTTACAAGAACCAATACCTCATACTAGTCTTCAGAGGAATACAGTTGGAGAAATGTTGCTTTATAATATTCTAAATAGTTTTCGTAGTAAGAAATTATGTGTATATGAATAAGGAAAGATGCCTAAAAAGATAGTTATCAATAATGTTCACCTCTGAATAGCAGGATCTCAGGTGATTTTTACTTTCTTATTTTCTTTATTATTTGAAAAACCTTACAAGTAATTTGTGAACGTCCTACTAGGCCTCTTTCCATGTTTTCAATTTTATATAGGTAGGATCATCCTTAATTTTCTGTTTTGTAACCTGCTTTTTTTACCCCACTCAACAATATGTCATGAATCTCTTTTCTGATACATTGTTATAATGTGCATTATAATTTTCAGGAGTTGCTATAGTATCACATTATATGTGTATACCACTGTATAACCTATACCTATGGATGAACATTTAGTTAATTCTGAATTTTTAACTCTAATAAAGAACAATGTTTTGAACATCCTTGTACAGTTTTCAAACTTACTATATGAGCAAATTACTTAAAACCACAGTGCCTTGGTTTCTTCATCTGCAAAATGGTAATGCTAACAGGACATACTTGAAGGGATAATTCTGAGGATTAAATGATACATAACACAAAGCATTTAAAACAGCGCCTGGCACATGATGAGTACTTGATAAATATTAACTGTCACTATTCTTCTAGTTCTGCTGTTAGATCTTCTTAGGATAATTTCCTAGAAGTTTCTCTGTCAGAGATTATGCACATTTCATATTTTTAGTACATTATTGCTAAACTGCTGTCCCAAAAAAGTTACACCAGCTTCCATCTCAGCAGGGCTTGTTTTCTCATAATCTTGCCCTCCTGAGTAAGGCAGTGTTTTTATTTTGTTGATATGGTGGGTAAAAAGTTATATCATTTATTATTTTAATTCTATTTCCTTCTATGTATTTAGAGATATTTGTGTGTTTTCCTGTTTCTCTCCCATGATATACAGCCACATCTGTCCTTTTCCCACCCCCGACCCTCTCCATAGAAGAGGTTTGTTTCTCTTCTAGCCAGGATTTATCCTCTTGGTTCCTACCTCCTCAAGGACCATACTCTGCCCATTTCTTAATCTTCAGACTGTTCTCATTCTTTCCAAATTCAGTCATCACTTCCCCCAGACACATTTGGAGGTCTTGCGTATTCCACATGCTATACTAAGCCCTGGGAATATAGCTGTGAATAGGACAAAGTCCCTGCCCGCGTGGGGCTGGCATTCCAGCATGAGAAGACAGATCGTTGATAAATAAACAGGATAACTTCAGATCATGAGTGGTAAAATGAAGGAAATAAAACCGGTTATTTTGCTACAGCGTGAGAGAGAAGCAGTGGCTACCTTAGATAGATCGTTGGGGAAAGCCTCTCCAAGGAGATGATACTTGAACTCTGGAGCCTGAATGATGAGAAGGCACACAAGGGACTGATTGTTCAATGCAGAGTGAACAGCAAGGCCAAATGCTCTAAAACAAGAAGAAGCTGGCTGAGTTTGAGCAACTGAAAGAAGTCAGTGTGTTCAGACCAGAGTGAGCAAGGGAAAGCAAGCAGGCAGTGAAGTGGGGGGACAGAGGCGAGGGTCAGATCATATAGGGGTTTAGAGTTCATCTCAAGTATAGTGGAAAGGGAGTTATCAGGGATTTCCATTTGTTTTCTATGTGGAAACTGGGAATGGGCGTGGGAGGAGCAAGAACGAGAATGACCTGTCAGGAGATTGTCGCAGTCGAGCAGGCTGGATTTGAGGATGGGAGATGAAGTAGGTGTGATGTCATTTGGAGACAGACTTTTCTAGATTTGCTATTGTCCTCATGAGGAAATGCTTCTTAAGCTCCCGACGTGTTCGCTGGGCATAGGGGTGATTCCCTTTAACTCCTGGTTCTCTAGTATCACATTGTTTCCTTAACTATACAACCAAACTTCTTGAAAGAATGGTCTACACTGGACAGCTCTGCTTCCTCACCTTCCAGTCGCCCCTTGATTCCAGCAGACCAGCGTTCGCTCCTGTGCTCAGCTAAGATTGCTGTTTCCAGGTTCACCAGTGACTTCTTATAACCCTTGTCACTTGTTAGTCCTGGAGCACTCGACACTGTTGAGACCATTCCCTCCTTTGGCTTCCATGGCATCACTGTGGTCTAGATTTTTTCTTAGGATTATGTTTCATAGGTTCTCTGTCTTTTTCCTAAGTGTTAAGCCTCTATTCCTTGGCCTTTTTCCTCTTTTCACCATGTACTGCCACCCCAGATGATCTTATCCACCATTATGGCTTTTATCTACCGTTTATTATTGAGAACTTCAAAATCCCTTCCTTGAGCCCTGGTCTTTCTCATTACCTCCAGGCCGTGTGTCTAGCCGGCTATTGGAATCCACACTGACATCCAAACAGAGCTCTTCTCCTTCCTCCTCGCCCCATTACCCTCTGAGTCACCCTTGTGCCAAGCTACTGTCATTGCCTCCTTTTCACTTCCTCCTGTCGCCGATGCTTTCTCTGCCTCCCGCACCCTCCTTTGCTCCAGCCCCTAGTTATCACTTGGCCTGGCTCACTCCTGCGTGTCCTTTATCTCACAGAGTAGGTTCAGGACCCACCTAATAGGTTCCCTCGGCACCTATTACTTGCCTTGATGGCATCTGCCACACTCTTTAACTCTTTACTTGCCTCTCCCTCTGTTCAGTAATCTCTTTAGCAACTCAGAGGACTGTGTGTCATTCATTACTTTTTACACATAAGTGCTATGCAGACTTTGTTCAGATGATTGAATAAATGAATTCTCAACGAGCTGATATTTCAAGGTCTTCCCTTTTTCTGATCTTCTCTTTGCCGTTCCTTTGTTCATGTTCTTACTCTTTACTGGTGACTCTTCTGCCATCAGCCTACTGCCTTCAGCATACGCTGTCTGTAGGATTCTTTCATTTGCCTTTTCCTTTGTACAATCATGTATTAGAGTATGATAACAAATTACTTTGAGGCTTGCCTTTTAAGCAGAGTAAAAATAGATAATTAAAGCAGATTTGTACTAGCTATTCCATAATTACTATAATGAATATGCATTATGAAAGATACTACCTAATTATCAAAATCTTTGTATTTAAATAGATAAAATTAAATTTCAAATTAAAAATACCAAATATTTTAAATAAAGTAGGATTGTTTGTTGTCTAAAAGGAAAGAAATACTCATACCAATTATCGTCTTTCGTCACAGAGTGCTTCATGTTGGCGGAACCGTTGTTTTGTTGCTTAGCAAAGATCACCACAGGCACATTGAAGACTGTGAGGGGGGCGGCATCCCTTTGAATTCCAAAGGCAGCCACACAGATGTACGTGGAATTGAAAAGTGCTTGATTCCTGAAGAAAAAACTGGCATATCAGAGACAGTGCCATCTTCATCGGAACCCAGTAACCGGGAATGCTTAGACAAAGTGCCACCGTTTGGCTCTTTGGTGCCAATGGAATGCTACAAAGTTAGCCTGGGGAGGACAGATGCATTCATATGCAAATATAAGAAGTCACACTCTTCTGGGCTCTAGCAGGCTACATACTGTGAACCACGTTCAAGTCCTCAAATGTCAGCTCTGCAGCTATAGAAGTGGTGGTCTCCAGGATCTTCATAGTGCCCCAGAGCTCAAGTAGACAAATTCCCCTGAAGACAGGAGGCCTGGCTGCTGAAACAGGTTTTTAGTAAGAGTTTCTGCTTTAGACTCTAAAGTGCTTAACGTTTCTGACAAAGAACAGTTAATTAATATTTAAACTGAAGTCCTCTTAAACTTTGTAGTCTGTCACAGTACGGGAAGTTCTGCTCTGTCTGCCTCGTTTCTAAGCAGAAGCTTCAACATCGAAACCAGTTTCAGAGGTTCACAAAGTATATCACAATCATCATAAGATTAGCAATGTTTTAACTAGCAGATTTTTTAAATGTAGAAACTTTTATGTTACTTCTTTTGATATTAAACTTGATTTTTTTTCTATCTATAACTTTCTTCTCCATTGGAATGAAAATAATTTTATGTACAATACATTTTATGTTATATGGCCCATATTATGTAAAACATCAATAGGAATAATAATGATATAAGTTGAGCCAATATCCTCCAACATGGTAGAAAATAAATTTTGCTTTTTTTCTAAAAGCTTTAATAAATTGTCACTTCATTCTTGTTTAAATTTAATGCATTCCTTGTGTTTATTGCTTGCAAAGAAGAAATAGGAGTATGATGAAAATATGACTTGTTTTTTCAATAACCTAATGTAGTAGCTTAGCTTTAGTAGCATTTGAACAACCTTCCCATATTTGGGGAATTTCTCACCTTGTGAGTCCACCTCTCCAAAGTAGAAGCAGAAAACTTGTTTTCCAGCTCTGGTGGAGCACGTAATCTAAGCCCGAAATCAGGGTCCACTGATCGAAGTGGGGCTCGTGGGGCCAGTGATAAGTGGGATTGTTATCTGAGAGCACCTCACAATAAGCTCAGTGGGACCTGAGCCTATCATGTTTCTGACAAAGAACAATAATCTCAGTGGGACATGAGCCTATCATGCACAGATTCATACAACCAATATTTATTGCACACCTACCATCTGCCAAGGCACTGTTCTAGGCCCGTGGGTCATATCAGTGAACGAAACAGATCCCTGCCCTGAGGACTTCAGCATTCTAGTGGAAGAAACAGATGAGAAACACTGACATAGTAATTTATTTGATGGGTTAGAAGGTGATAACTGTGATAGGTAGGAAAACAAAGTGAGGAGTACAGGACATTCGGGGCAGAAGTGTTTTACATTTTTAAATAGGTCAGGCCTCAATGAGAATATGAGATTTGAGCAAATATTTAAAGAACATGGAAGAATGTTCCAGGCAGATGGAACAGCCAGGTGCGCAGGCCCTGAGGCAGAGAGTACCCGGTGTGTTTGAGGAACATCAGAGAGGCAAACGTGGCTGGAATAGAGTGAGCAGGAGAATGTGAGATTAATGAGTGGCGGGTGGGGATGGCAGCTTAGATGACAATAAGACCTTGCAGACTGTTATGAGGACTTGGACTCACAGCCACTGGAGGCTTTTGAACAGAGACAATCTAACATACATTTAGTGTGATCACTGTTACTGCCATATTGTGAATCAATTGTAGGGAGTCAAGATTGGAAGTAGACCAGTTGGGAAGATTTTGCAATAATCCAGGCAACGTGGTAGCAACTGAGGTGGTAAGAGACAGCTAGATTCTGGATATATTTTCAGAGTAGAACCAGCAGGACCCAGTGATGTGTTTGATGTGTGCGTGGTACCGTGGGTGGGGAGGGGACAAGAATGGCTGCAGGAATTTGGCCAAGCAGCTGGAACAGTGGAGTTTCCACCCACTGAGAAGGGAAAGGCGCAGGAGGGACAGGTTGGGTGAGAGACGTCTGAAGTTCAGTCTTACACTTGCTCATTCTGAGATGTACGTTACACCAAGTAGAGACGTTGGGTAGGCCATTGAATATAGGAGTCTGCAGTTTAAGAAAAAGGTCTGCTTTAGAGATATAAATTTAGGAAGTTTCGGCACATAGCGTCCATGAAATTGGATGAGATCACTAAAGAACTGAGTGTAAGAGAAAGGAAGAGGAGGAATGGGCCGGAGCCCCGGCTCCTCCAACCCAGAGATCTGCAGAAGAGGAGGAATTGGCAAGGGAAACCGAAGGAACTAATGAGGCAGGGAGAAGACAAGAATGAATGCCTGGAAGCAAGTGAACAAAGGGTATGGAGGAGAGAGATCAACTATTAAATGCTGCTTAGCAGCCAAGCAAGACAAGGACTGGAAACCGACCATTGAATTTAGCAACAAGGAAGGCATTAGTGAGCTTGACAGAGGGAGTGTCAGTGGAGGCGCAAACCCAGACTGGACTGGGCTTAAGAGAAAATAGGAAAAGAGCTGGAGGCAGTGAGTACAGACAGCTTTCAAAGGGAGCAGAGAATGGAGGTCATTCCTTGCTAGGGGATGCAGAATCAAGAGAATAATTTTTTGTTGTTGTTAAGATGGGACAAATAGCATGTTTTTGTTGTTTTTTTATGCTGAAGGGAATGTTCCAGGAAAGATGAAAAACTGATAAAGTGGGGAAAAGGATAAATGCTGGAGCAGTGTCCTTGAATGGGGGGATGAATGCAGTTCACACGTGGAGGGATTAGCTTTCTGTAAGAGCATGAATAATTTCTCCATGGTTACGAGTGGGAAGGCAGCATACAGCCATTTCTGCAATGACATGATAAATGTGTTCCTGAAAAAATTTTCATTCTCAAATTCATGCACCAAATATAACAATTTATGAAAAAAATAAGGTTGGGGCCGACCATTCCAACTATCTATCTTTGCAACCTGCGTACTAACGAAAACACCAATTGACATAGTTTAAAAAACAGTTATATTTCTAATAAATACATTAGTAAAGAAAGGATTTCACCTTTCCAAGGAAAAGGGCAAAGGCAGCTTGATGCTACACGGTAGAAGGAAGGGTAGAAGGTGCTGAGTTGTGCCGTAAGCACTGCCTGGATGGAAAGA